CAAGAGACGCCCTAACACTTACACAACGATCAAAAGAATTCATGTCATGATTTTTTTCGACAAGTTTTGCGCTGGGTGTCGACTACCCAACACAACCCTCCACTTTTCACATTCGGGCTTGGGACCGGCAATGACAGTGTTTCTCTCAAAAAGTACTAAAAGAATAAAATAGAACTCCCAAAATATGTCTAAAAAAAGGAAACATTCAAAAACAAAATTGATATCAAGCATATTTATGGTCTTTCCTTAAATGTTGCATCTTAAAAAATTTCATCCTCAAAAGCCACTTCCCTAAAGTTCATCTCCCCAAAAGCATCTAAATTCACATGTTAATTACTTTATTTGTACCATCAATAAATTTAGCTGTATCCATAAATAAAATTTATAGAATAATATTTTTCATCAAAATGAACAAATAGACTTAAAAACTTACTGTTTGTTTGTCTGTTAGTTTCTTGCATCATCTTTGTATATTTTATTTTTTCAAATCATCATAATTAAGTTCTGGAGAACATTCATCTTCAACAATCCAAAAACCTATGGCTTCAATGCTTGTATAATCCAATGGATCATAATTTCTCTTTCTGGAGTTCATCACATACACAAATTTCATAAATTATATTCACAGTTAAAACCAAAAAAACAAATATAAAAGCAATAATATTAGCAAGCATACCTATTCTTCAAATTAAGATTGTATCAAACTTATACTAAATCATTTAGTTTTTGATGCTGTAAATGATTTATTCATTTTGTATGAATCTGCCGAAAACACTGCAGTTTCTTTCACATCCAGATGAATAAGAAGTTTGGCTAAGAATACAAATAGCCAACTTTTGTAAATTTGAAGCACTAGAACCAAACATCTTCCTCAATTCATTTGTAAAATATTAATTATGATTTACTTTAAGAAGATGCGTAAATAAAAATAAATTTCATTAAATGCAAATTTAAAAATAGATTTCACTAATCACTATTAATAGTTGAGAACTTACCTACTTGAATTTCTTTTTCCATAGATAGAGCAATCGGCTTTCCAAAGCTTTCCAATTTATCTCAAAAAAGTCAAATTTCCTTTATTTCCAAATGTAGGCTTTGCACATACATCCTTGTTTCCAATAATTTCAGCTAAACTTGCATCACCTCGGTTTTTGACAATAATATTAAAAATCATACTGAATTTTTGGATTCAAAAAAAATTCAGCAAAGTGAATTCCTTGACGAAGTTGACCATCCTATCTCCTCTTAATGATGCTTGTGTATGGCTTTTATAACTTCTTTACATTTCTGGATATGTTTTTATTTGCTTTTTGGGCTCTATGCATTCCATCATAAACATACCCAAGTTATGGTTTCTTATATACATCCTCTTCGTAATGCCCTTATAAGCGGCGCAAATATTTTTGACATAAATAGGCAATCATTCCAAAACTTGCTATCCAACATAATAGAGCATGCATCTTTTCCTTTTTTTTTTGTCAATTTTGATTATGACTTATTAGTATCAAGTGCTTGCAAATCATGTTTATGTTCATAAACTCTTTTCAAAGTAATAAAAGTTGTTGTAAAGCGGTTACTCCGAGATGCACATCTATCCAACCTGGCCTTTTTGTCAACCAAGATAATATAATAGTATGATTATAAATAAATATTGTTACATTCGATGCACATTTAGCAATCTCCAACATATGAAGCATACAACTGATTTCCTTTAAGATTCAATTCAAGCAATGTGCAGCACAAGGAGACCAATAGATCTTACCATACTTTTCATGTAATAAATCTCCTGCTTTTTTGTAGTTTGCTTCATTATCAATCACAACTTGAATGATATTTTCCACTCAACAAATAAAGAACACCATGTTGTTGCATCTTTCGTGATAGTAGAAGCATCAATAGATTTTAAAAAACATATACCTCTAGGATAATAAACTAAAAAATTTATAAATTTTATATTCTTCATGTTGTCTATTCATCAGCCATCAAAGTACATCCACTTTCCTTTCAACAAAGTCTATAAGAATGATTGAGTGGCATACATTCTTCGTTGCAATCTCTGAGTAAATTAATTCTCATTTGATAGTATGAAGATAATTGATAACCAGGACCGATTGTAGCTATTGCATCCATATCTTTTTTAAGGCGTTAAAAGCGAAAAAATTATCCGAAATCCATCTAGCAAGTGTCATATCAGCCCTTCATACAATCTCTTTAAATGCCAACACACTTTTCAGGGATGGTTGTGAGTCAAGCTTAATTCTAAGAGCAAAATAATTGACAATCTCATCCAGCCTTCTTTTTCCTTTGTTTAATCATTTATCATGAACAATTGATCTTTACAAGGAGAAGAATCTCTCTTCTTCAATAATATGTTCACCATATGGGTGAATATTGTTTTTCTCTTCTTGTGTCTCTTTTTATTTGGGATATTATTTTCAAATTTTATAACATCTGATGACGAATATTAAATTGAATTTTCTTGCATGGCGTAATACTTCCCTTAACCCTAGCAAGATGCTGTTTCATCCTCTTTATGCCTCTATCTTTATATATCAATCCACAATGCAAATATTTAAATTGTTTCTTCCCATTAGAAGTCTTAATTTAACTAAAATGATTTCACGCCCTGGAGCAGACTTTTTAGGGACGTTAAAGGAAGAAACATAAGGTTGACTTCCAGATGGCTCCATTCTTGGAATAACAAAGAGACAAATTTGGAAGATCTCATAATAAAAAATATTTACTTTAAATCTGATACATATGTTTAGCATAGAAGACATTGTTAACAGCGATCAAACACTCTTGATTACTTGAACATATATATAATCTTAAATGGAATGTCAATGTTAATTTAATTTTTAATTCCATAAAATGCAAGAAATTATCACTATATATTTTTCAAAACATGAAAAAAACAGCTAGGATTGAGAATTTGAGGTAATTGCATAATTAACTTAACTATAATAATTGCAGAGAACTTGCATCCTATTATTAGCAATTTCATATGGATAATTGATGAATATGAATTTTTAACTCGTGAATTTACTTCAAGATGACTGAAAACTTGAAATATTAAAGGCATCTTAAGATAAATTCAAAAAAATTAAAGCTAATCATGAAGATGAAATAATTTCATCATTTAGTTGATTTATACATATCCAAATTTTACAGCATCTAGCTTAATTAAATTCAACATAGATGATAGAAATCTAGTGGATCCATGGAATGTTGAGAAATAAAATTAAAAAAAAACGTTTGTTACAATGATGGGCAAAATGTTAAAATTTAGAGGGGTTTAAGTTTAACATTAAAAAAAAATCTTCTGTCAATGCACTATTCAAATAAGGGAGTATTTTTCTCTTTTGAAGTTGTCTTCTAACTAATAAATCCATGTAGCCATGGCTTCAGGTGGCCAGACGCATCTTCCGCTCAGGAAAATTATATCATGCCATGCACTCTTATGAAGAAATTAAACAACTATAATAAACTAATTCAGTAATTCGCCATCAGTAACTAAAAGACAATGAAAGAGGAATATAGCATCAAAGCCGGCTCAATCCATTTTTCAATCAAATTTAAAACAAAAGGTCGTTGCATCTTACCAACTATATCTATTTTATACAATATATACCTCAAAGGAAGCCAAATAAAATCCTGATTAGCATGGAAGACCACTACAAACAGGAAAGTAGCCAAATACACTAATAAAGCCCTACTTAGCATGGAAAACCATTTTAAACAGGAAAGAAGCCAAATAAAGCCTTAATTAGCGAGATAAACCACTGCAAACAGAAAAGAACTAGAGTTTCGGGTAAATTTTGGTTGAAATAAATATATTTCATAAATTTTTCGCCCTATGTTAAGTCGTTTCTTGCCATGTGCGAATGGGAGAGGTGAGAGAAGGAAGAAGAGACATACCTCCGAGCTGCGGATGAGACGCCGGCGAGGGGGCCGCGAACCGGCGGCAAAAAGGTCGAAAGAAGGGAGGATTGGGTTCTGGATTGCAGAGTGGAAGCGGAAACGAGTGGAATAGCCAAATAGGGTTAAAACCTGAAAATTTTGCACAAATAAGGGTGAGCGGGCAGTTCTCTGGAACTGCGAACGGTTCGCTGGGTGGCTGGTTGGACCACTAGTTTCAGTCGATTCCAGCCAGTTCAATACAGGGATGGTTTTTAGCCCACCCAGAACCGGACCACTGACTGGTTCACGGTCGAACCTGCTTGATTCAGCTAGTTCGGTCAGGTTTTTTAAACCATGCTTACAATACACCTAATGGCGTAGCTCCATTTTTATCGGCCATCATAAACTCTACAAATAATGTCATCGCTTATCTCTATTTTTTTAATGTTGTCTTTAATTCCCACTTAATTAAGTGCCATTTATGATTGTCGTCTGAGCAATGGTACATCATCAGATGATGAATGCATGTAGTGTCAATAACTAGGCGGTATCCAGCTTGAAAGATAAACCAACTATGTTGCATTTTGGGTATATGTTTATGCTCTATATACAGGCCAACACTAGCATAGATGTGCTCCATGGCAAGTTTTACGTGCATGCTAGTGCTTGAGGCTCTGATTTTGTTCAATTCACAATATGCCACAAACAATATATATTGGCCGAGTTGGAGGTAGAAAAAAAAAAAAAACTCAAGAATTTTATTTCATTCTTTGTACAAGAGGGGATATATTTATAGGAATAAATCAGAAAAAAGAGGGAAAAATAATTAGGACCCGTGATCTTATAGGAAAGCACGTGTTTTGCAATCTGAGGGTCAGACGGAAATATATTCATCATAAAAAAGCCTTGATATGTTTGTCTTAAATTCTTTGCTATGAATGAAGTAGTAGAATTCTAACAATTATTATTGTCTTTATACAAACAGGAGTAATAAAGACTTATAACGTATTAAATTCTTTTAATCTTCTATTAGTCTTACGTTCAATATACTATGGTGTCTAGTAAATAAATAACTTGTGTTTCACAAAAATTGTTGCCAGGCTCTTCAGTGCCATCAAGCTGCGTGTTATGGTCCATGCGAGAAATGCCTTCTCGCCATGTTGCGGAGGAACCGCCTCAATCAAGAGTTATAACTATTGTAAGGGACGGCCCAGCAGCCCCACCTAATCCTCAGTGGAGAACAGCCGTTACGAACTCTCAAAATAGGGTCAGTCATTTTCTCCACTTTCTTCAACTATTATGATAAATGGCTTCCAGTTTTGCTCACGTGTTTAATGAATCTTATGTGAAATAGGTGCATATATGTAGAAGCTATAATTTAACCCATTTAACATATTTCATTCTATTCAAGTATTATTGAGCTTTATTGCTGAAACCAAATTAATTTACATATCCAACACCTAAACTTTTATTTTTACATATATGGTACTGTATTTCACTTTGTAGAAGTTAAAATAGTGATATTTTGTGTGTTATAAAAGCTTTGGGTGGCATAAATGTAATAAGTAAAATTTAGTTGTTAGATGTGTAAATACATGAGAATTGGGTGGTATGTACGTAAATGCCCCATTAATATTTGGGGGATTTACATACATACCACTCAATTTTATGTATTTACTTATATAACCCCTACATTTTTATATTTATTTAGCATTTTATAACCCCTAAATATTTATATTTCTTTAGCATTTTACTATCACAGTCACATCAAAACATATGCATGAAAAGGTATTTGTGTTTTAGAAATTTTAATACCAGTCATGTTTCTGTTATATTGTTAAAAAATTTGGGTGTTATTGAAGTGAACATGAAGGTTTAAATTTTTGACCGTTTCAAAAAATTTAAATCTGCAGGCCTTGAAAGTCAGTCCCATATAGAAAGATCATTTTCCGTAGGCCTAACCATGTGGTGTAGATGGAAGAAAATGCTTGAAATTATACATGTAAAATTGGATGTGAAGGTGTGAGCATGATAAAAGTTCCGAGGATTGGAAATTTCGACGAGAATGAAAGAAGAGGGCTGTTTCTGCTGCAATTTCAATTTCCTCTGCTGAATTTGCTCTCTGATGCTTACAAGTACTTGCCATCTTGTTGAAATTATGCTTGTAACATCACCCTTTTAAATTATATTTACTGATTATTGATCATCTTATGTTATATGTGCTCCTTCGATGTAGTTAGTATAATTTAGTTCTGAAATCTTTGCTTTTAGCGCTTCAAATAATGTGCAGAATGTTTGAAGTTTAAATGAAGGAAAGAGATTGAATTGGTGTTGAAATTATCGGAAGGAAAATTTTGACTTTATTGGGATCTAATGTTGTGAAAATTAGTCTTAAAATATTCTGTTAAGCTGATTAGCATTAAATGCTGCTTTTATGGGCTCCTTTCGTTTCAAAACTACACCATTAGGAAAAGCGCATTAGAAATTCCTCACAAGAAGCATTAACCACATTGAATTAGAATGCGAGTTGTGGGATTGCATCGCGCCTTCGACATTTTACGCAAGTGCCCTCCTATTCGAGATGCTAGGGCAGAGTAGTAACGCGATACGCTTGGGAGTGCTGGGCACCCTTGGTATTATTAGATGAATAATGCGAGCCGCGATGCGATCCCACAACCCGCATTCTAATTCAATGACAGGCAGCCACGAACACGGGATTCCAAAAGAATAAAAAAAATTGTCAATTTGGGCCCATGGCACTCGAAATAAACGACTCCAAATAGGCCCTTAGAGTCGTCAAACATGCCTCCTAATGCACTTTTCCGCATTCAAGAAAAAAGTTCTATTTATTTATTTCTTATCGTGTGAGCTTCATCATCTTCGTATTCATTTTATTTTAAATTAATGTGATTAGGGTTTTAGTTTTGAAATGAAATTCTCCACTCTAAGAATCATTATTGTACCATTTTATGAAAGTAAAATTTATATGCCTCCTGATGCTTGTTTATGTACTGACTTATAATAATATTACTTTTTCAAATGCTTGTTATCGGCTTTGCAGCCTGCATATGTATATGCAGTACAAAATGCACATTCCAACTTTGATGAGAAAAATTTATAGTAACAAAAGGATGTGTGTGTACACACATTATACGCGCGCGCACACACACACATTACATTCACTGCTTTTAAACTAACATTCACTTTCACATACATATATCGAACCAAATAGACTATAACCACCTTAAATTTTCGGCACATGATATTGGTTAATATCATGTGCCCAAAATTTTATGGGCTCCTTTCGGCACATGATATTAACCAAATAACAAGTTGAGTAGCATGAGGTTCTAGTGTGTTATGATTCTTCCAGAATTCTTTTTGTGGCAAAATTTTATTTTTTTCTCAACAGAGAAGAACATTAACAGAAAAACTCATTCATGAATAGATGTTTTTCACTTATTAAAAATCAACAATTGTGATTTCTTTATTGTGTTATTATTGTATGTGCTCATCTCTTATGTAATTTGGGGAGGGAGAGGAAAGGTTGGGCAAGTTGGGGAGAAGCAACCATAACAGAAAAAACCCATTCATGAATGGATGTATTTCACTTACTAGAGCTACAAGCATCATATTAAAAAACCCAAATCGATATCCAACCGTTTGGGACCACAATTCTGCTGCTAACAAGATGCTACAAGCATCATATACAAGCTCGTGAGAACGATTGAGCTTTTTGTGATTTGGGAAGGGACAGGAGTGGTTGGGCAAGTTGGGGAAAATCAACCATAACAGAAATAGGAATGTCATGGGTTTTAGCCAGGATTGTCAAAACTTTGCACGTTTAAATAGAGTTCCTTTCACTTAGAAAGGGACATATGATGGGCTCTATGTGGGTTCTGAGAGTTTTTGAGAAATTTCAGCTTAGCTAATGTTGCATTGTTTAAAAAAAAAAAGGTATGACTGCAATTTATCTTGCTTTCATTTTAATTGTAAGATATGATCAATGCAAAGTTTTATCAACATTTCTGATGCAAAAAAACTTGGAAGATGTTCATACATACCACTCAATTCTTATATATTTACATATGTAACCCCTAAACCTCAATTTTTACATACATTCCACCTTCCCTATGCAAAGAGAATCAGTGGTTTAATCCGAAGTCCTTATTAACCGGATAAAAGAACTTGCGGTTAAAGCTATTTTTAAGGTTTCTAAACATGAAAGTAGAATATATTCTACAAATGTTGGAATGAATCAAGTCTTCTTCATGTAATGCAGATCTGCAAGTGGTTAATCCTTCTTGTGCATTGGATTAAGAAAAGGTTCCTTGACCCGCATTTGGGATGCTTTAAGCCTTGGGGCACTCTTCATCTTCTTTAATGATGGAATAATAACTAGCGACTCAATATGCTTTTCTTATAATCATACCTACAGAGGGAATAGGTTTACAAATATCTGATGCAAATAAACTTGGAAGATTTTCATACATACCACTCAATTCTTATTTATTTTCATATCTAACCCCTAAATCTCAATTTTTACATGCATTCCACCTTCTCTATGCATGAAAAGGTGTATTTCACAATTTAAAAGTTAGAATGGTATAAATGTAAAAATTTTAGATATGTAAATACATAAGAATCAGTTGATATGTATGTGAATGCCCCGAACTTTTAACTGGGAAGTGTCCAGTTTTTCAATGCTGAAAATTTGGAATGGGATGCACCTTATTGATCAAGATGTGAATGTTATAGCTTCCATTCAGATGAATTATCATTAAAATATGCTCCATCTATTGGTATGCCATCAATGGCCAGTTTGACATTTATGAAAGAAGAGCGGATTAAGGTCGATTTGAGCATGGATTAGAGCCGTTATTTTTTCATTTTTTTTTTCTTGTGACTATTTGACCTTTCTTTGTATTTGGATCATTCACTGGTATTTTCTGAATGTTTAGCTGAATGTTCTTATGAAATATTGTTTCATATATGTGCATTATCTTGTAACATGTTCATGTAATTTAATCATGTAGTACAAGTAAACCTTGTTTTCATTCTTTATCTTTTTAGCCTAAACTGCTCAAGGAAATTTGAACCTGAATATAGAATATTTTCTTTGTTATCAGCAACCTCTCCGGCTGTAAGTGTATCTTCCCTAATTTTTTTCCTCTTTCTCACGATGATAATGATGCATTGTAAGCTTAAAAAAACCATAAATTGACTATATAAAAAGAGAAGTTCCATGATTTTCTCTTAGCTAATTACATTTCATAGAGAGTGAAGTGTGAGTGGTGATTACATTGATGAATAATTGTAGCCCAACATAATTGCATTGACTTGAATTGAAAGTTCATACCCCTTCATATTCAGGCATTTGAGAAAAAAAGAATGAAAATGATATTTTGTGGCATCTGCCTTGAGGAGATTGAATTGGGAAATGGGCCTACGATCTATTTCAATAAAAAAAGTGGCAATATATTATCACAAATTTCAAGAAAAAGTACAGGCAGGGTGTATGACAGGATGCAAATAAAGAATAAGTGGGATCAGCTTAAGAACTATTGAATTTTAGAAGGAATTGAAATGAGGATCAATGGGCTTGGGTTGGGATCCGGTGAAGCGAACCATTAATGCTTCGGAGGAATGGTGGACAAAAAGACTTGCAGTGAGCAATTTTTCATTTCATTTAATATGATTCATTTCATTTTTTAATATTAATTAAAGTGTTTAATATGATTTTGCAGGTGGTGCCCACAACAAAAAAAAATACAAACTGTGGCCGAGTTGGAGAAGTTGGACCGGATGTTTAGGGGTGTCATCAAAACAGACAAATATCATGTGCTCCAAGTGAGAAAGGGTATTGTGGCAGCCATAAAAATGTGGTCGTCAACCTATCAAGTGATTCACCCAATCTCTACTGTCAGGAACTCCCGAAATCCAATCCATCAACAGTTCTAAGCATCCTCGTGTAGAGGGTAGGAAAAAGGGTAGAGCTGCTTATCTCAGGAACCAGATATCAAATATGGTAGGTTCTTCCAACGATGCCTTGCATACAATTCAGGGAACTTCCATTAAACAGGTGCAAATTAAGGATGAAGATGAAGAAATTTCAAAGTATTTTGAGCTATACTTTTTTTGCATTAGAGCTTCTTTAAGATTCAGTCCAAAGAGGCTTTTTTGCAACGATTGCTAAAGAAAAACGGGTGGCATATCTAAGACATTTTTATGCTCGCAGGGAAACTTGAAGAAATTTTTTTCTTATTTGTTCTTGACTGAGACTATTTTATTTCATCTTTTAGTTGGGACACTTTTACTTTGTTATTGTATTTTCTTATGATATGCTTATTTGATATTTGTAAGCCGTTAGTTTTATCTATTATAAATGCTTGGGTCATGCTTTCTTCGTGAATTATTAATTCCATTTTTTTTCTTGACAATGGTATAATATACACCAACATGGATTCGGACCAGGTAAGACGGAGACAAAAATGCAACAATCTCCTTGATCATTGAGTATTACAACACGCACATTGACCGCTCTCTATGTTTCACATCATCTTATATCGAAGACAAATGGGTCGGGAATTGTTTGTTAGGCATCCAACCAGATTCAACAGCATGTTTCTCATGAGGCAGGAGGTATTTACAGATCTTCTAGCAGAACTTAGTGAATCTTAAGGTCAACATGGGTCATCAAGGATGACTCAACGTGTGGTTTTGGCGATTACTCTCTACATATTTTCATAAAAGGAGTCAATGTGTGGTGCGATTGAACGATTCCAACACTCATCTAAGACGATCAACAGATACTTCTCTGTGGGTTTGAATGCACTTGTGAGCCTATCTACACAAGTTATAAAAATCAAACAATCCAACTTTCGCACGAACTCTTGTAGAGATTCCACGCAATGCACGTTACACGTCATTCTTTAAGGTGACATTTGCAATTTCTAGTATTCAAATTTCAATATGAATACCATTGATCCCCAAAATTATAGTTGTGTAAAATTAATAATGTTGACTCCGCTATGCGGCGATGCCAAAAACTTGCTTTGTTATTTTATGAATAAGAAATTTAAGCAATTTATGTTGGGATTCTACGCAAGTACACATATCGTTATCAAGTAATACAAGACTTTTTGTTTAAGTCCCAAATATAGATTCCACAAGGAAGGTGTAAATTCGAAATGAAAATTTAAATTAGGAAATTCACAACAATAAAGAAAATCTACTACACTAATTTCGAATATTTAAGGTGCTATCAGAACTAAATTATCAACTACTAGCAAAACTGTAAAG